GCCCTGTTGCAGCCTGACTTTGCCCACTGTGCACAGCCGCCAGAGCACCACCACCGCCCGGCATCGTGTCACGGCGAGCTCCTTCTGCGCCCGCTCGCGAGGCTCTCGCGCTGGCACACTTTGGACATCTTCTGCTCGCGTTCGGCGAGCTCTTCTCCGCAATCCTGCCACGGTGCCGCCACCACACACCTTCGGGCCGGCCTGAGCCGCGCGGACTCGCCGGCGGGGGCAACGTATCGACCTCTCTCTCTGGTGCACCACGGGCCGCGACGGCCTGCGAGCAGCTGGCGCGAGGAGGCAGTGTGCCGGCACAGTCGAGCCGGAGCATCGGGTTCTTGATGCTTGTGGGGTCAAGTTTGACCTTATGTGGTATAATATGCAACAATAATGCTATGCTCTCACCCAGCCTTTTGAGATATGATCCCTCAAAGTCGAATTTTCGTTTACTGGTGACCATAGTACCGTTTGTCTTGTTTGCGTTTCTTCAAACGAATCCTTTCGAGTCTCGACAATCACCAAGCTGCTTATGTGGCACCGCAGAGGCTCCCTTGGGGATGCCTGAGGCCACCCCAACCACTCACCAAGCCTTACGTGGACGAATTGAAGGCTCCGGCTCAGGTCAGAGGGCCCAGCGACTCGTCGGTTGGGTGTAAACGGGCATTGCCTGTGGTCTTCAACGCACAAAGGGTGTGAATAGAGCTCTCTTGATCCTTCTGAGCACGAAGACCACTCGAACTCTTCTGCAGACTCTAGTGTTTCCGGTTTTCATAACCTGTGAAATAGTTTTTGCGCCCGCCGCAGCCCGCCCTATTTCGCGCCAGGGCCACGAGAGCCCTGGAAGAGCCCAGCTGGCATGTTCTATCGCCCGGGTGTCGGGCTGTCTACATACAGACGTCTCGTCGCCGTGGCCGACGCATGGCTGGTCCGACGTGTGGAGGAGTTTGACCTCAGCCAGGCCGTCGGTGTCGGCGGGCTGACGGCGGCCGCCGGAATCGCGATTCGCTCTGCCAGCTGCCAGCAGCCTCGTGTCGCCGCTCTCGTTGGCGCAGCAGCAGCGATTGGCCTTTGCGCCGTCGCTCGGCGGCGTCACCGCCCATCCGACCCGCGCAGCTCCTGCAGCTCCTGCAGCTCCTGCTGTCAGTCTTCTGCTCTCACGCACCTCACTCGCCGCGCGCGGATTGTGCGCCGCGCCAAGCAGGACACGTGCTCATGCAAACAATGCGAGAACTTGGTTGCGCCGCTTAGTGGCGGCGCTGCTTTAGAGAGAGAGAGGAAGCGGCAGCGTGGGAAGCAAAGCAGATGGAGGCGGCGCGGCATGCCAAGGAGCTGCTGCTGGCGGAGGTTGAGCGGCTAAGTGCAGCAAGGGCCCAAGGGCAAGAAGGGCAAGAAGAAGAAGAAGAATGTTGGCGTGGGCGATACGGGCGCCGCTAGGCTCAACAAGGAGGTGCTGTGCAGTTAGAGAGCTCGTAGCGAGCTCGATTTTGATGAGAATTTGATGAGAAATATCTCAATTTTGAGCCAAAAACGCCAAAAAAAATCGGCGCCTGCGGCGGGCCACGGGACCGCTCCGGGACGCACGCCGGCGAAGCACCATCAAGCTGTTGTACGGCCCCGGCATCGCCTCCCCTGGCTTAGCTAGAGTGAGAGATACTGTGCATACG